TTGACAAGAGAGTTTGCATGTGAAAAAATCTAATACAAAAAAAACTATGTTTTTTATTATTTATATATTGCGTAAGCTTTGGAACACCTTTTATGTCAATATTAGCGAATGTTGGACAGATATATTTGTGCTTGATACGTATGAAAAATAAATGGATATGAATGAAAATGACAGACATTTAAACGATTTTAGATTAGAAGCACCTGACAAATGAAGACAGAGAAATATTTGTACTTTTGCCAGGCCTCAGTTGACCCCACATCACATACATTTCACTGAAGGGATCACGTTCGTGTGACATTATATCGATTTTGTATGAAATTATGTAGGTTTTTCCTATGAAATGTCACCTTTGATCTAGCTGATATTGACTTCATGCTCACTTGTAGTAGACGAAGAAATAGGTAGGTTTTTTACGCAATAGTTCTGCCGATAGTGTTTCCCTTTTTGTTCACCGTGTGCACGGCGCGCGATTTAGTTACCCCATTTATGCACTTCACTCACGGCGAATATTCGATGTCATTTTATTTAGATATTTTTGTTCATGGCATCTACTGATCTTACAAATATTTTGAGGACCATCCAAATTAATGAATTAAACAGAGAGCTGATCTGATCTGATGATCCCTTTTCAAGTGGTATAGGCCGTTTTCCAATATTATCTTGTAATGTAGCTGCATGACGCACTAAATCTAACATTGGTGATCTTCCACTCATTTTCAAATATTTCAATACTTAAAGTTCTGTAGGTAGTCAAATAGTTAAAATGATTTAATTAAATAATCAAAACACAATTTTAAACAACGTGCATTATAGTCCTGAATTATCTTTTTCTCATGTCAGTAGTACATAGAAAATTGTTTATTATGTAAGTATATGAGTGATGAACTTTTATCAATAATTTACAGAAATTTCAACATTCAATTGCAATCAACAGACCATAATAATTGCGAAAAGAGCCAGAATACCTTTGAAAATCCGGATTGGATAATCGTATTAAAGAATTTTTTTAACAATGCTTTCAATAACCTGTCATTTTCTTACTTATTAGATTTTCTCATGGAGTTTTTCTTACGGAAATCAGAATTCACCGAAAATCTATTGACATTTTGCATTATCTCATAATTATGAAATTTAACATGCAAAATACTACGAGCCCCTTTCCACTTCAGTTGGCCGACTTCAAGATTTGTACCAAAATATGCCTTTATAAACTAAACATGACGAAACTATTTACTTCTAAAACAATTTATTTTCTCAAAAACATAGTAATGTTCTAGCATCACATTCCAACGGGTCACCCGATTGTGAACTCCTTCAACGCACATGCGTTGTCAAAAGACTACTTTCAGACGATTTTAAATTTTATTCTGCTAGAAAACATTTTTTGCCAAAATACGTTTGAGTTGAGAGTGAGAACACTGTATTTGACATTAAAATGTAATTCTAGATTTTTCGTTGTTAGACCATGAAATTACAGTTCCGGATATACTGCTAAGTACTTGATTAAACGTCTTATTATGTAGAATAAACAACTAATCGTTATATCACATCTATCTGCTACATCATGAAACGGTTTTTTTTACAAAAAGAAGAGTGTTTGCTCATAGACATAAAGTTTCCCTACAGTCGCCTTTTTGAAGAACATGCTGTGCCCGTATTTAGATGAGATATATTCAGCCACTTTGCGAGTAATTCTGAAATGTTACATGAATTCACTTCCATTGTAACGAGGTACCGCGCAGCATTTATGTTTTCATCATTACTCGAATCGATATCTGGGATCCAATCGGATTCTACACTTGAACTACAAGTAAGATGAACCATACAAACAGGTACCTATACACAATAAAAAAACTAGCACACACCAAATTTTATAAAAACGGTTATCTGGCTTCAATCTTATCCATTGATACAAACTACTCAAAGTTACAACAAAACTGAGAAAGACGCAGACTCCCCAACACAATTCAAAAATGATTATCCCTGAATCATAAACCACCCTTACATTAGATTACAGAAGAAAGGGGTTCGCTTGCAAGCGTTAAAGTCACTGCGACCCATGTGGATCTATTGTGACCCCCATATATACTTTCCAAAGCACTATGCCCAGCCTTGATACTTTGATCAGACAACGCGCCTTACCTTTAGCTATCTGCTGTTGGACCTGTGGTTCCTATTTTCTCTCATATGCCGATTTAAAAAACTCACTATGGCCTTCCTATTGAGTCCTCTGTAAATACGGGCTTTCGTTCTTTGGTGAACTCTTTTACCTGCCTTTGCCCCAATTGGCTGTTTCACCATTCTAGGGACTTTTATCGTCCAATTTCTTATGGACCGTTTGGTGGATGTTCTCGCCACGCCACAGAAAGGCTCTGGACCTAGGACCTATAAGGCGATTGTCCGCACTCTGTCGGGCTAGCTCATCAGCCTTTTCGTTTCCTTTGTGCCCTTCAGGTCCTGGTACTCAGAGCAATGTTACCTTGTTTCGGTTTCCCAGCTCTTTCAGAGTGTTCACGCAATCCCATACTAGTTTAGACGATATTTGCGATAAACTTAATACTTTTATGGCTGCCTGGCTGTCTGAGCAGATGGCTATCGACTGATTTGCATTCTCATTCCTTATTAGCCCTTTTGCGCAGACTTGCATAGTTGTTTTCAGTTTTCGAGCCGTCTTTCCTCCCACGCCTTCCTTTCTGGTACTATTGTTTTATAGTTTTTTCGAAATTATGCACTGGGACAGTTAATTCCGTGGGTATTACCAATATAGGATCTGCCTTCAAGTCCGTGTGCAGTTTTTGATGGTCTTTTCCGTGCTGCCGATCGGCGATTGGCCTTGAGTTAATCTGTAAGTCACAGAAAGAGCATTACCGAGAACAAATATGTGTATTGGTGGTAGATCGAGATGGACCTCCAACGCTGCAGTGGGAGCGGTATGCATGGCCCCGTGAATCTCAAGCAAACTAGCCTCTGTACGCCTTTTAATAGCCTCACCACTCCCAACTGTGTAGTCTTTGTCCACCATGCCACTGATCTATAGGTTATCATGGGTCTCACCATCCAAAACAGGATCTTTGCGATCTGCGGATATCAGAAACCACGAGTCCCGACAAAATCCTGTGTACTGTAATCCTCAACTAAGTTTAACCCTTGCTTGAATATGTTTTCTCTACTACTCATGCTCAGTCCGGTCTCAAACCGTTGGAAATGTGATGCTGGAGCATTACTAATGTCGATATTTTATAGAGTACTTGGCCGAGTGCTGGCGCTGACGCGTGACGCTCAACGACTGTCTCAGCTATTTCAACCCCGACCTGTTTACTGGTCAGAATGGCCTTCATCCTTCACCGGTCTGTCTCGCTTGGCTACGTGACAAGTATAAACGGATAACAACGTTTGTGTTCATTTTTGATTAAATAAACTATGAAATATTGTATGTTAGTAGCACATAAACATAGGTTTTAATGATCCGTTGCTAAATCTGTTAAAGTCATATCTAATAGATCGGTTAAATTATCTCTATTATAATGGATTCACGTCATATAGGTATAAGCACATCAGGGATTGTTCAATGATCGAACGTAGCAGATTATTTATTTAAATAATTAAAACCTTATGTCTCTCTATAGTACGGCCAAAGCTTGAATACTGTTCAATCATCTGATATCTTTATCACAACCTATATACACTGAACCACCGGTAATCCGACAAACGTTTTGCAGGGCGATGTTGGAGTACTGCCCGAAGACAATCTATGTTATAGTCCGGAATCTTTGGAATAAGGGTACCTTGTCATCCGACATATCACAAATGAAAGAATCTATTTGAACCGAATCATAGTACATTTAATAAATTAAACATCACAATGGAGAGCGAATATTTTCTTATGAAAATAACATCATCAGTGTTATCGAACTTACAAGAAATAAAAACTAAACTTATTTACGTTATGTTCAAACGTAATCTTTATATCAACGTAGAATAACCACCAGTGTAATTTATCTCCTTAAAATATTGCATAAACACGTTGAATGTATCGATTCAATGTCTCTTGTAAATTTTTATGTTCCACAAGTAAATACACATCGAAATGTTACGTTTTATAATAGGACTCCTAGTGTTAAATCTGCCAATTCGCCTGTGAATGTAATGTGTACTAACTTTTCACAATACTAGTCGCGCTTTAACATCAATGACACATTGAAACAACTTATAAATGCGATTGACTATCAGTTAAATCCACATAATAGCCATTAGTTATATGTTTGGCTTGTTCGTACAGTGGTCGGTGACTTGTTGGCGACTGTGTCGGGGACCTGGCTATGTAAATTCTGTCTATATAGCGTAGCAGAATGAACGGAATTTGTGTGGCGGGATATTGGTCACGATCACTGACAGGTTGGTGACAGCTGTACGAACAGGACTGTTATCTTTATTTAAGGATAAGTAGTAACCATAAGAGGAATTTTTGGTTTGCTGTCTGGCTATTGTGATGATTTTTATTTGTTTTCCTCCTTGTTGTTGTTTAATCTGAAACAATATGGTAAGATTGTCCTACAATTGGATTTTGGATCTGTTGGGCAATTATTTATTTATTTGTTTATATCAAAAACGCCTACCAGTAATAATCTCTACAAATGGGATACCGAAAACATCATCAAAATTATATATGTAGTTGTATAAGCTAAATCCATATTTATGGAACTTTCAATAGGCAGAAAAATAAACAAAACCGACTTTTCTAGATGCACCGAGTACTGTAGCGAGTGTACTGCCTCGCCATTGCACTCGTTACTTGTAATCATACCAGTAAAACTATGAATGTGTAACTAACACAGCGACCTAATAATCATTAACTTATTCCAGTAGATATATCAGACACCCCTTTGAACAATTTTGAGTACACCACTGAGTACTTGGTGTTGCTCTTCGCAGTTGTTTGCATGTTCGCAACGCAAAGCTTCTTACCGCGATACGATTAAAAAGGTACAGGCATTGTGTGTGTACCGTGGTGCTGTTCCTGTTTGGGATGCTACAGGCTGGGTTTCCCTCGAAAAGCATTATTTCTAATCACCGTAATGGAGATAAAAATGAAATTCGGTCTTAATCTTCTGGAGTTCTTATACAGTATTACTTTTACTTTGCTATATTCTGTCCGGGGCTTGATGGGAGACCTAAAATGCAATAAATTTGACCATATACAAATTCAACGTATATGGAAATGATTAGGTTTTGACGTTTTTTTTCAGCTGTTGTAATTTCCTAACAAGCACCCGAATCTGGGTATTTGAGTCTAAATACGAAACCGTGTAAGAATTGCGCAAGAATTCTATCGGTTTTCGTAGTTTATACTGGTATTAAGCTAACTCCATGACAAAAGATGTTATTCTGGGTGTTTCAAATTCGATCCTTATCATTTTCTCAAAATCGTTTCAATTTTTTCGTGACTTTATTTGCTGTGAGATGTTAATACTACATTAACATTGCCACTTTTTCTCCTCTAAAAGATGGCACCGTCAACTTCATTTTGTCTTATGGAAGAGATATTGGATTTTTGCGAAGATGAATAGAGTTTTTAATTCTGAATCCAAAAAGCCATTGACATTGATCATACATTGACATTGCCCAACCTAAAACAGAATTTCCTAGGCAAGCCATGAAATTATCATAGTCATTTATTTCATATACCAGACTAAACCTCAAACAGGACGTAGTAAGTAACAGAGTTTGGTAGGCTGAGAAAAAGGAATATGAATCGAACAGTGAAGAATGTACAGAGAAGAGTCAGGCTTTGCATACAAAATAACTAACAACACTTTGAGCATCTACTATGATTTACCTCTACTTGTTAATGATTCTAATTGTGATTACCATTAATAAAAATTTAGTTTTGTGTTTAGGTTTCACCATACCATTTTATTTTTTTATTTTTCTTATACCGAAGCAGCCGTGCAGGCAGAAGCCAAAATGCCGGGACACAGCGGCTGCTATGATGATCCCAAAGAAATTTTGTTAATACGATTTTTGAACTGCCTAAAGTTGGTAGAACTGGAAAAAACTTCCTCTGGTAGATTGTTCCACAATCTCGTCACCCTCGGGACAAAGGAGCGGTCGTATCGGCAAGTTCTGGATGTACGAAGTTCGACACGGGTAGGATGCGAGGCCAACGTCAGGCGGGCCTGTCTGGCAGGCACGGCATCATGGAAGAGACCTCTGAGGAGCAAAGTCCGTTGGTGTAGCGGTATACAAGAGCTAGATCGCCGACGGCCCGCCGGTGCGAAAGGATCCCGAGACCGTCTGTTAGAGAAGAGTTATCGATCAGTCGAACCGCCCTCCACTGGGCAGCATCGATCATAAATAATTTTCGATCCGACAACAAATTCATGGCCAGCAAAAAAATGAATTTAGGACTGAAAAGTACATTTAAATGTACAAAATTCCAAAATAGCGTCCATATGAAAAAGCAAAGTTGGTGGTGAAAACCTTTAATTGGCAATAACAACGTGCAGTTTATTCTGAAATCCCATATCAAATAAAGTCAATAAATAAATAAAAATGATTTTGGAAAAAGTCTAGTATGCGAATTTGTTTCGTGAAACGTCATAATGAAGTTCTAATTAGGCCATCTTGTAGAGGTGAAAAAGTGGCAATGTTAATGTACAATTTATTTTGGAACCGCATCTCAAATAATGTCAAGAGAAAATAAAAGTGATTTTGGGATAAATCTTATATGCGAAACAAATGACTGATAAATTTTGAGGCCTACCTAGGAAATTTCTTTTTTTTAAATAACTTAGATTTGGCAGTGTCAATGTATCACGTATTATGCATTATTGGAGTCCAAATTGAAAACTCTATTCAACTGTGCATAAATTCAATATGGCGTTCTTAAGAAAAAATAAAGTTGATGCTTTAGGACAGAAGACGAAACGTCGTATTGAAATTCTGCCATGCCACCTTATAGAGGAGAGAAAGTGGCAATTAATATGCAATTTATTTTGAAATCCCACAAGAAATAAATCTAGAAAAAAATATTAGCGATCTTGAGAGATACCGTCTTTTCCGTCTCCTTTCGGAAGTATTTTGAATTTCAAAACGTTCTAAGCGGCACTATGTTAGTTACCTAAAAACGCAGCTTCGTATCTGTTACCGTTTCCAAAATCCCAATAATGAGGGTCCAATTTGAAACACAATAAAATAACAGATATTCCGAAAAGTAAAATAATTTATGTTTTCAATTTTCCTTAGGATCTCTAGCTCTCAGCATACAAATTGCTAGAAAAACTCGTCCATATTATACGCTTTAAATGTGAGCAAATAGTTTAAATGCTAACAAATAGTCAATCAAACCGATTTCGGTCAAAGAATAATCATTTGTCTCACTCTAAATTTCAACAATTTCAAATCAATGGATATTATTTTTTGAAAACCTTACTCTTAGATGAAAATACAGGCGGGAATTCACATTCTAGCTCGTGTGCTTATCGGTTTTGTGGTAAAAGGGGCAATCAAATGTATTTGCCTTATTTACTATGCGCTAGAAATATGGCTCTAGTATAACGAAATCTGTGACGTCTGGTAACTGCCCGAGTTCCGTGTTTTCGATATGTAGCTCATTTATTCAAATAATACGATTGTCGTTTATGGTTTTGTAAAGTCGCTGTTGAGATATACCAAAAATATTCATAACGCTTTCCCGTTCACTAAATTTTCTTTGTCTTTGGAATTACTAAGGAGTTACATATAGAAAACACGTAACGCAGGCACCGCTCAGGCTTTAGGTAATGCATTATACTGGAGCAATCGCAGGGCCATGTCCAGCCCCCTGGAAATCCGGTAGGACCTGGTTAGCATAATGAGCATAGGTTTGTGTACAATTTTGAGGATTCTTAGGGTTTCTAGCCATTTTACACTCAATGTACTATCAATTTTTAGCGCTAGAAATAATTTTGTTCTAAAGAAAACTGAAAACAAGTTTTATTTCTTGTAATAGCTGTTAGAACTTCATTGCATGTAGTATTTTTACACCATAGGGTGAAATTTGTTGTATTTTTGGAGTTTCCCGATCGCGCCCTTGATTTCTACTGTGTCGTGTAAGCGCTCTATTTTGAGGTTATATTTTCTTTTTGAATTCTAAGATATTTCAGGCTGATAATGCTTGATTTTTATATCAGCCTGGCATTTCTCAAGATTCAAAAAGAAAACATAACCTCACAATAGGAGAGCGCTGATGCTGACAGTGAACAGCAGAAGTCTAGAAATACCCCTGCCTTGCTGAAGAAGACAAAATATTGTGAAAATCAAGAAGGCCATAAAGGCGTCGTACAATTGCAGGAACGACTGACGATACGGCATCTAGGCTCTCCTTTTCCTCTTAGTCACAAGAACTGGGTATACATTCCGCAATTCGCGGATGACAGCACTTTGTAAACAATATGCGATACATGCATGCAGACTGGTCTGGCGATTTAGATGGGGAGAAGAAAACTGGTAGTGACTTGCTCTCTAACTAAAGAACTTAGGGTTATCATTGCTTGTTGACAAACTAATTGGTAGGTACTCATCCAAGATTGTAATGTACGTGCGAACTTTGAGAGGAAGCTATTCATTTTGGTTTGTCAACGTTCTGACAAGCAATAACATAATTTTCCACGAAAATGGCTGGCCAATCACAGTCACTGTTGGGAGAAATTTGGTTACATGTGTTTAAAGCTATGAAGTAGTTTTCACTATGTAACATCCTCATCCTAGGCAAACCTGAGGTACGACCCTGCCTGGAGAGTTGAGGTGCTTCTGTACGGTGTAGAGAGGTAGAATCTGCAAGAATAAGTATCGAAATTCCAAGGTAATGTATTATTACCGTACAGAAGAGTATGAGGATGAATACAACTCCACAGCTAGTCTCAGTACTTGCAACATACAATGAAAAATTAAGACAAGTTTGAACTACTCCAATGTATTATCCGATAGGAAAAAAATGAAGGAAAAGGAGACCATGAACATATATGAATATTTTGACTGACGAGCCAAAGAGCCTGGTCCTGAAGGACATCAACGCAACTATTCCAGATAGCAACCAACAATATTATCATAGCCTGAATGATCGTCAGCTGTTTACTCTTTACTGTGTAGGATCCAGCTTGACGAAATGCCCAAAAATCAACAGCGATATTTTAAAAACGTCTTAGTTGGGGACCCTACTGATCGCCAACGTCCGGAGCAAAGAGGTAGCCTGACTTCGATAGCATTTCGTTAACAGACAGTCTAAAAGCTCTGAGACATCAATAAATGTTCGGTATTTTGACTCCTTTCTCGATAATTCGGCTACGTTCCAGACCTGCCAGATGGACCATCTAGGTTTTTCACTCCTTTCTTGATAGTTTTTTCCTGTTAGTACACTAACCTGGACAGCCAAGAATTCGGATCGACAAGACACAATCAACCTTTTTATTGTAGTATTTAGGCTTGCTTTTGAATTTAGGTTTTGACTTCGTGGCTACTTCAGTAACAGACACTTAACCATCAAGGAATACATCCAACAGCAACGCTTCAAGACTAATCTATAGTGATTCTATTTCACAACAACCACTCGAAAACCGATCCTTGTGGAATCCCTATAGTAATTCTCATACCTTTTTACTGGGCGAGGAAGTATTGTAATCGCAAAAAAAAATCGAAAAAAAATCCCTGGTATATAGTGTTACAATGTTTCAGATATTTCTGCTCATTTGCAGATATTGTCTGAAGGGGTTAAATATTGTTTGTTGCAAGCTGTTCGCGGTAAATGGTTGTAAATCGTTGCATGTTTAGTGTCAGTGAACGACTTTCGATTATCAAGAAGCTCTGATCCCGGTAATATTATGCACCTGCTAGACATAATGAGTCAAAATGTTCTCCCTACGTCTGTCATGGGAAAAGAAATATAATAGATTCATTTTATGTAGTTTGATATGTAAAGATCAAAGATTAATCTTACCTAAGTGAACCTACCTAGTCATGATTCCATTCTGCCTTTTGAAACGACTTGACTGATCCCTTTCCAACGAAGTCCTACGATGTATAGAGCAAATCTACTTGACGACATTTTTATTATTCCCAATGACAAATATTTTATATTGCCCTGTATATGTTGCATCGCCGTTTACCCCTCCTGAGAAAGAAATGAGAGAACAGGAGGAAAATCGAGTCGCTAATCAAGTCCGCATCAGAGCCGGTCTGGTGGTCCGGTGACCGTGTGCCGTCCAGCCAGCCGAAACAATTGAGTCTGAAAAGAAATTTCCTTTTTCAATTTTCATCTTGGCGTTGGAGACTCCCTGCAACAACTCCCGGCTCGGCTAGCCACGTCAATCTCTTATACTTATTTTGTCTTCTTTGCCGTGGCGCAGATTTGATTTCATTCCAAGTTGCCGGCTCGCGCTATTGTTCGCTCGTTATTTACGTTTTCTTTGTTCCGGCAAATGAGACTTGGGAATATCCTCAGGGACGGAGACTTATTTGGTGGAGGGAATGACTTTATACTTTTTATCGAGGCCAAACTAGGAGATTGCCATTGACCTTTGACCATACTGTCGTCAAACGAGTAATATGTAAGACCATCGATAAATAGATCTTATCGTATCTTTTAGCTTCATAGATACAGAATTCTGAAAGTGCTTCCTGGAATATCATTACTCTGGATACTGTACCCTATCTAGGAGGATAAAAATCCCACACTAGATAGGAAAACGGCCGTGAAATGACGTTTTATCAGTAATGGGTAGGTGGAGAGCTACTAACTGAAAAACAAAATAGTAGTCGAAATATATTTCCATGAACAAGGCTTTTTTATTAAAATAGTCTCAACTTAGATCTTCTAGAACAAAACCAATTTTTGCTCAGAATAGAGAATAAATAGTAAACGACTTCCTGAGTATACAGGGTGGCGCATCGAAAACGAAACGGATGCATTTACTGGCAGCTCAGTTTTTTTTTTTTGAAAAACGCTCAGACTCGTCGATTTTTTTTTCGAGGGGACACAAGTTTGGAAAAAAATCACGTTAGCACGTGCAGCCCCCTAAGCGGGGGTGACACCACCCCCAAAATCTTAAATGTAAAGGGGGGCCGAGTGATACCTTATTTTATTCTTTCAATTCCCTTTATAATGATATAAAATTAATGTACTTCAGTTCAGTAGTTTTGAAGGTTTATTGATTTAAAGCTTAAATAAAACTAATACATCGTCATTAGTGGAGATCAATACATTTGGCAGCAAAGTTATTTGAAAATGAAGAATGAACTGACCCGTTAGGCAAGTAAATGTTGAAAATGACCACCATGACTCTCCATGCAATAATAAAGATTTTGCTCAAAACGTTGGCGCACATTTTGCAATATTTGAGGAGTAATTTGAAGGCACTCTTTCACAATTCTTTGTCTTCTAATGATGTTGGCTGAGTAGCATAGATTTTGCTTTTTAAATGACCCCACATAAAGAAATCCAAAGGTGATAAATCTTGCGATCTTGGGGGACATTCAATGGCACCTCTTCTACTAATCCATCGATCTGGAAACGTCTGATCTAAATATTGTCGAACACGTAATGCGTAATGTGGTGGGGCACCATCCCGTTGGAACATCAACCTATTCGCAATATACCGCCGATCATTCTGATTTTCAATTATGGCTGTTAATGCAGGATCTATGGCGTCTTCCAGTAATTTCAAATACATTTCATCGGTCAAATTTCCAGGTAAGAAAAAAGGACCAACTAAATGATCGCCAAAAATACCAGCCCAAACATTTAATTTTTGTGGCTGCTGTGTATGAACCTCATGATAAATTCTGGGATTAGAATCTGACCAATATCGGCAGTTATGACGATTTATTACGCCATTTAAGAAAAAGGAACATTCATCGAAAAAGCAAGTGTTGAATAGATAATGTTCATCGTTTATAATGCGTTGACTCATATCTTCACAAAATTGTAATCGCCGATCAAAGTCATCTTCATTAAGTTCTTGTACCAGGTGAATTTTATACGGATGAAAACTATGGGCCTTTAGAACCCGTTGGACAGTACGTCGACTAACACCACATACATTCTCCAATTTGCGGGTACTTAACGTAGGATCTACATAAACTTGCCCTAAAACCCCCACTTCTATTGCTTCGTTCCTTATGGGATTTTCAATGTTGCGTTTTTTTATTGGCGACTGACCCAGTTTCCCGAAATTCAGCTACAAGTTCTAGAACATATTTTCGATGCATGTTACTATTCTCATTAAATATTTCTGCTGTTCTATTAGCGCACTGATTATTTCCGAAAAATATTTCGATAATTTCAACTCTTTCTGCTGTGGAATATACCATGGTTAATTTATGTAATAAAGCATTACAAGTTATTTTAACAACAAACTTTGGTGAAATCAATCGCAAACTAGGTACTAAATTCCTATTTAAAATAAGTACGAGATATTCCCTTATCTTTCTTCAAGAAATAACTTTTTTGCCACAAAAAAACGCTCCAATAGCTATATTCAACAACAAAATGATAAACAAACCATGGGCGTGGTGAAGAAAAGCATTTACTTATTAAGTAAATTCTTTTAGTCAAATTTCTTCTGAAAATAGTACAAACTAATCTGATGTACCTATAAAAGTCTACTTTAAGCTTTAAATCAATAAATCTTCAAAAAGATTTTGGGGGTGGTGTCACCCCCGCTTAGGGAGCTGCACGTGTTAACGTGATTTTTTGCCAAACTTTGGGCCCCTCGAAAACAAAATCGACGGGTCAAATATCTACGTCTTATCTACTTCTATGAACGAACTTTTACGAAATCTAAATATGAGTACAACCTTAAATCATAACCAACAATAAGACAGTGGATAAACTTATTTTATTTGCTTTAGGACTGGTTCTTGAGTAGGATTAATATTCTCCTGTAAATAGTAACATACGATTAAAAACCACAACTTCTGAGACTATATTTCTTAACAATTAATTTATAATAAAAAAATAATTAAGCGAGGTAAATTATCTTTCTATAGCAAGTGTCTGTATTGTCTTTTAAAACTGTTCAGTACATAATTCCGCAAGGTTATTAAGTAAAAAACTATCAAAAACATCGGTAAAATTTCAACTTATGCACTAGGTAGCCTCTATTCAAACGTGACATTTTATAGGAAGCAGCACTGGCAATAATCTGTCATCTCTTTACATTTTCCGTTCTCTGTTACAAAACTAGAAATTTAGCTGTCTTGTCTTGACTGCATTGTGTGCAATCCCAGTGATTTTCAAACTATTTCTTTTGGGTTCTTGTGTGCCTTCATGAGGATTTCTAGGAGCAGACGAACAAATAAAGATTATGTGGAGACCCTAATAAATTTTCGAGAATAAAGTCGCACACTTGTTACCCAAAAAATGCACCCATTAAAAACCATAGGTATAAGAAATGTAGTAAATTGGAATAAATATACTAAAATCTACATTCAACTTCAATTTTGTAAACATTTTCCTACATAATTCACTTGTTCTAAGTAGACAATGAATTCATAAGATGCGGGCAGATTGACTGGGTCATCTGGTTTGAGTGGCACTATCGCAATATGAGTACAATCGATAACGCCTATGACACTTTGAATTGATGAGTCTCTAAAAACCTGAAAATTATGAACATCTCATAACATGCTGTAGACTATTATTTAGAGAAAATATAGACCCGTCTTTGACTCTAGTAACTCCTTCTGAAATTGAGAGTCTAATATATCGAGAAGACAAATGTAGATAATGCAATTAGTCTGCTTATTTTGTTTATAATTCTGCTCATTACAGGTTGGCTGATTCCTATATATTGAAATCGTTCCCTACAGTTGTTTGATAATAATCGCCGTATGCATAAAATTAAAAACTTGAAAAGAAAACACTGCTCACAATTCATAGATAAGAAATGTTTTTTTTTTAGGTATTTAGAATCTCTTTTAAAAAATTACATATTTATATGACATATCAGTGTACACATATGTATTTGTCCTAAGATTTACTATTAATAACTATTATTATTTTAAAAAAAATGTTGGTTGTTTGTACAAATAAAAAAAAACTGTATATACTCGTAAATGCACTTACCTAACCAAAACGTTTTCAAATGAATGGCGAAAGTTTAGATCAACATTAACAAAAACCGGATTAACGGCCATTTCTTTGCAATAAGGATGTTGTTATATAGGTATCAAGTACTTAAAATTACTTGCCGTGATAACAAGATCTAAAAACAAGATCTCTTTTAAATGACAGATCATCTTGCTAAAATATACTCAACAGAATAGGAAAATCGCAAACATTGCTATCTCATATCAATAAATATTAATTTATAATGACAAGTAACAATATTGCTATAGTCAAACAGAATTTCCCTGATAGTCATAAAAAATCGAAATCATGTCACCTTTTAACGTACCTAATATGGATGCCGTATACAAATAACAGTTGTTATGGAGTGTTTCCAGCACTTATTAACTGGGAACATTGCCTATAGGAAATACTCCCAATTTTACTTGCATGTATAAGTGATATCTGTAACAAATGTGAAAAAATTATTCTGATAAAGTTAAGGAAGTTAATCATTTTATGTGTTGGGTGTTTTAGCCGACCGTGCCCTTGTGTTGGGGTTTCGGCCGTGACGTCACTTTACACGCATTCGGCTTCGGATATTCGGCTCTGATGCCCGCGACCAGACGTTACAACGTAGTCTTGCACCGAAAAGGAAGCAGCAAAACACATCGCACGCTACTGTTGGGGCGGCGTGCTTTTGAACTGACAAAGTCGGTGCGCGCGGATCCCACACCGCGCTGGCAGTGGCATACGATGTCTTTTACTTCTCTCTTTATTTTCGGTATCAGAACATAGCATATCGCATTCATTCGTAGCGCTCGAGCTGACCAGTCACAATTTATTATGTGTATCTTGGCAAAAACTGTATTACAATAATTGAGGTGGAAGAAGATTTTCTGCGGCTCGATTCCAGTAATCATCAAAAAGTGGATATAATAATGGATAGTAGTAAATAGTAATATATCACGCCATTTCTTAAGTTATTTTATTCCTTGACATACCATATAAGATGGCCTATAGTGACCAATTAATGTCAGGAAGTGGAAAGTTATCCATATAGCATTACTGATTGCTAAAGATATCTGTATATTTTTATCTTTAATATTTTGATGTACGCCACTGGTAAACTCCAACATCTTCTTTGCTATAACGAACTCAAAAGTTTTACATTTTTGTTGGCGTCTTCTTTAAAAACTCTGACTCTGTTGACCCTATGACTCTTTTTCATAGCTAGCCGTCGACCAGTGAAAAGAGCCTGGAGGTGGAAATGTAGCGGACTTTAATTTTCTATTCAAAGGAGTTTTCCTGATAGAAAGCTATTTTCCTGGATAGGCCAAAGCTACTACCGGTTGTCAGCTCATTGGAAATTATCGTATTTTGTGCATTCAACTGGAAATAGACCATACCCGAATTGGTCACTAAACAGAGTGAAGAATTCAAAGACCACACACACTAACCCTCAAATATGCCGGTTCTCTTGGAAGCTAATAGCAACGGTACTTGTTTTTTACGTGCTTTCAATACAGAGTGTTCTGAAAGTTGGGATGAAGTTTTGTAATCGCCTTTACATGGATCATATTTGAAAAAAAATTTGGAGGTGCGGTGTATGAATACAATTCCAGCCTCCGAAGCTGTAAGACTTACAAAGTCGCCTAAATGGAGGCAGACTTGCATATTTAGGTAATCAACAAAATGCCGTTTAGAAAGTTTCGAAATTCAAAGTACTTCCGGAAAGAGACAGAAAAACCGACTTTCCCAAAATGGTTTAAATTTTTTCCTGAATTCATTTGAAATGGTATTACAAAATAAATTGCATGTTAACACTGAAACTTTTTCTCCTTTTCAAGATGGCGTAAATAGAATTTCAATATAACGTTTCAGCTCTTGTCTTCCAGCATTAACTTTATTTTTTTCATGGTCGCCATATTGGGTTTTTACATAGATCAAGAGACTTTTTAATTCCGATTTCAAAAATGTATAATAGTATGTCACTTATTGAAAATTCCAAACCTTAGTTATTCCAGAAAAACAGAAGTTCCTAGTTAGGCTTTGAAATTGTCAGATTCCATTTGTTTCGTATACCAAGCCAGACCTCAAATTCAACAAAGCATCAGAGCTTGGAAGACTGAGGAGAAGAGAAATAAACATTGCAGTGAATAAAATAACGGACGTTTTGTGTTCAGGTTTCACCATACCTTTTTATTTAGCCTTATAATTTTCTTCACACAACAAATTCATGACCAACTAATAAAATACATCACTGAGTTTAGGACTCAAAAGTCCCCAAATATGTAAATTTGACTACGCCATCTTGTAGAGGAGAATATATAGCAATCACAACATGCAATTTGTTTTGAAATCCCTCTCAAATAAAGTCAGGAAAATATAAAAGTAATTTTGGGATAAATCTGGTATGCAAATAACTGTCGGATAATTTCAAGGCCTTCCTAGGAAATTCAGGTTTTTGGAATAACTAAGGTTTAGCAATGTAAATGTATGACGTAACATATCTGTGTAAAAATCCATTATGGTATCTATAAGAAAAAATGGCTTTGATGCTGAAGAACAAGAGACGAAACGTCATATTGAACTTCTAATTATGACTTCTTGTAGAGGAGAAAGAGTGTCGATGTTAATCTGCAATCTATTCTGAAATCCCACTAAGTTAAGGTCACGAAATAAAGCGATTTTGGGAAAATTCGGTTTTTTCGTCTCTCTCCGGAAGTACTTTGAATTTCGAAACTTTCTAAACTACCTAAATACGCAACTTTGCACCCACTTAAGCGACTTCGTATCTCAGTTTCCGGTATCCCAATGGTCAGGGTCGAATTTAAGCGCCATGCTTGGAGTGTAAGTTTATGAGGTTACTTGATTTCATGAGGTAATATTATATAGTGTATGTAGTATATAAGAACATATCAAAAGCTATTATAATCCGGTATCAAACATTGTTGAGAAACAGTTTTACACCAAAGCTCCAAAGAAATGGGGCTACCGTTTACGGTCACTCACATTGCTGTAATTTGAGGATTTTTTTCATGAAAACCCCAAAGAGTATACTAATGGTTATCACAAAACTAACATCTTTTTAATGATGTCATTGCACTGCATGAGAAATTGTACTAAAGTTGTCTTAAAGGCGAGTGGGAAGTATAGAGCCACTCTACTTGTCGCCATTTTTTGGTAATCAATTGCGCTTGAAATAACAAAGCTACTGTATGTTACGTTGAAACAACGAGGTAAAGGTACAGAATGACGACCCGTCATTCATTTAAAAAGAAATCCGCCCTGTCATGCATCGTTTATAGATACTGTTGTTACTGTTCGATTCAAAAGCACATGTTCGGTAATTTGCAAACGGCCTGCATTCCTAGATCTTTGTACATGGTACACAAACGATTTGAATACGTTCGTGAAGCATCAGCAATCAGCATCATCTTGAAGACTCTCATCGTATCAATAAGTTCGGTATTGCTACAAAAATGTGCCATTTTTTTTAATCCACTATTTAAAGAAACAGCTCGGTTTCCCTACATGGTGTGCAGTTAGATCCTTACTCCTCCTTTTCACCCATTTGTCTACAGGCCGCATTTGAAGTAAACTTTTTCAGACCCTTATGTCTCGGTTATCGTAAGACTTTAATGTTTATTGATTTTGAAAGAATTATACGTGGAAGTCCTAGCTTTGTGAACACTCTGTATTTATGATTACCTTTAGAGCACAACTCTTGTAATTCTCATGTACTATTCTGTCCAAGAATATCACAAAGGATATTATATCTAAATATCGATTGATACTACCTTGTGTATCGATTTTCTGACATATTCGGCCCAAGGGCGTACCCAGCAAAAAACTTTCAGTGGAAGTTCCACAAATCATATCTGCATAACTATGCTTGATATTTTTTTCTATTTGCATTTCATTTATATGGGGTCTTCCACGACAATTTGACAATTCATATGGATATGGAAAACTACTAAGATTACTTTTTTGAAACATTCAAGCAAATATTGCAAATATGCTATTTTAAGTAATAATTTAGTTGATTGCAATATTTGAAAGCAACGCTTGAGATAATATATGACAAATTTGCAAATTTTATATACATACTTTTTGGGCGTACACATCTCTCAAAATTCAAACAGGCCACTCATTTTTTTAGTCAAGTTAGTAGTGGAGGAATAATTTACAGATATAATATAGTAGGTACATTTTATGGCGGCCGTCAGGTAGTCCTTGGCCTTCTATTGTAATAGAAGGTCTGTAGACAGAAAAATATTTATAGTTTTTGTTAATCTGTCCTGTTGCGATAGAGTAATCGACAAAAAATTAATCATTCGTCCTTCTATAACTTTTGTATGACTCCAAACACAACACGAGGTGTGCAATTCGAAAATATGTAGAGTGGAACCTGCCTTGAAAAATCGGGAAACTGCTGCAAATGTGAACCCTGTTGTAAAAGAAATTGTACAGAAGGACTTATATGCTCTTTAGACTTTTAGAGTAAGTGCTAAGGCCCCTCATCTCCAAATAAAAAATTCAGGGTTACTTTTTCATAAAACTTTATAAGTCTATTAAACAACTGAGAAGGGGATGAAAATACATTCAAAATGAGAACTAATGGATATCTACTGTTTGTTACAGTGGAATTGGTTATTGCAAAAATCGTTAATTTACGAAAAATTGCATAATAGTAAATATGAAATAGTAGCCAAAAGTTAAATCCCTTGTAGTCATTAACTTAAAAAGAATATTCAAAAAAGCCCAAGCTTTCCAGCGACGTGTCTGCTGCAAAAAAATAGACATACAGGGTGAGTTTTTAGTAAGTAAATGGATAATATCTCCATTGCTATAAAACATAATCAAAAATGTTATTTACAAAAATTGTGAACTATTTATGCTTTCTGCTTGGAATGTCCCGCTTCCTCCAAGGTGATTCTTACCGACAAGAGAACAGAAACGATTCTTTCAATGGAACACTGGACGTCTTTTAGTATATACGCCACTTCGCTAATTTCTCAAATATGTTAATTTCTCTTTGTCGATATTTATTCGATACTTTTGTACAATTATTTGAAATTTCGTCATATAGCCATAAATAGTTTTATAGGATTTATAAGGTTGTATAACTAGTTTGTTCTAGAATTATTTGAC